GCCGGCGGACAACCTCCGACCGTCCCGGAGGCGTGAGTACTTGACGTCGTAGCTTCTCCTCGGCGGAGCGATGACCGCAGCCTTCATATCCGTCGGCACGCACCCCGCGGTCGACGCGTAAGAGCGGCACACGGACGTCGAGGACTGCGACCGGCACAGGAGCCCCTGCATCTTGCTCGTTCTCATCATGAGTCAAAATTAGGAGGAGGAGAAAAAAAAAAAGGAACGGTACAGAGAGGGAGGGCGTCACGAATTTGAAGAGTCTTCGGTGCCTGCAGGTGTGCTGTGCTTGCAGAACAACATTAATATAGTGAATTTTTTTTTTTTTGACTCTTTATCCTCGTAGAAAATAATATTTGTTTTTTTTACAAATAGACCTGCTAAGGTAAAAGGGCCAGAAGAGGCTGCACTTTGCTCTAGACTCCGCAACAAAAGAGCTATATAGGGTCGATTTGCAGTTAACCTTTGGTTAAAGATCGATCGCTGTTATTGTTGCTTACGGTTTTAGTCGATGACTAGGTATGATCTTGTGACGCAGCGCGGAAGTAGTGGCATCAGAATCCACCAAGGACAATCTTCGAATCCACGAAGTAAATATTGAATAAAAACGAAAATTTATTAATCAAAAGTTATGCATCTGGGGCTTACAAGACCCTACTTAAATAGAAAAGAAACAAGACTTTTACGAGGACTCAAACTCTTGCAATGACTCTAACTTACCAAAAATAGTAAAATAATTCCTAAAACATTAAAACTTCTAAAAAGACTCCTTACGACTAGGAAAGTCCACCAGTCAAATCTGAGATCAAATCGGCTTTGTTTCCTAATCAAAACAGACTGTCCCACTTTGACGCAAACGTGTCTGTCGTGTGTTCTACATCATCCTGATATGTTGATGATGTGAATTGCAATGAGTAGATCGTGTATCGTAGCAATATCCGCTTGCTCGGTTTAATTTCAATACTAATTGGATAACGATGACTGGGTTATTTAATTATCTGTAATTGACTCTTATTTTAGTTCGCTAGTTTGTTTAATTATTTTATTTGTGTATGCATAAAGAGGAAATGGTGGGGGAGGGGGGGAGCAGAGCTTTTTGGTGCTATTGATTGAAGGGAAAGGACAACCTCAAAGAGATAAAAAGTTGGTCCACGAATTTGCTAGGAAAAAAGGAAATAATTTGAAATTAATATACGTGGAGAAGGGGAATCTAGTAAAGTCGAGGGGGCATAGTGTCTCTATGTTTGTGTACAGTTCTATTAGATGCATCCTTCACAAAAAGGGGCAGAGGAATCTCGCAGCCACTATGCGTCTTGCTTTATAAAACATCGTAGTAAAACTTTGAGGAAATGACATCTTATGTTGGCTTCTTTTGAAATATTGGGATAACCAGTGTCCTTGTATCCCTTAGAAAAGTATAGACCCAAAAATAAATATATAAAATAAAGCGTTAGTTGTGAGTTAGACAATTGTCGTATATAGTCGGTGATTTTTGAGTAGAAATCAGTGTAATGGTTTTATTTCTTTCTCTAAATATTATTGGATTTATTGGTCAAAACCGCTTTCCAAAATAAGTTTTCAAACTATATAGTTATTAACTATTGGTATTTTTCAGAAATTCTTAGTAACGTAGCGGAAAGTAAAAGTTTTGGTGTTTCAAAAGGTCCTGAGTTTCAGGTTTGCCGTAAGCAAGCCGAGACTTGTTGTCTTAAATAAATAAATTAATCCTTCATAAGTACTAGAGGGTCATGGGCCGTGGCCCGTGGGTCGTGGCCTATGGCCCGTAGCCCTTGGGTCGTGGGCTCGTAGACCGTGAGCCAATAGGTCGGGGGATCAGGGCTAATCGGGTTGAGACGCTAAGTGACGCTTTGCAAAGCGCACTTTGCACTTCACATGGATGCATCAGGGCTAGGTGGCGTCATGTTGGCTGCCACTGTGGCCGCCACGCAGGTTGCGTCGTAGCATGCGGGTGAGCTTTGCGTTCGCAGGTGACCCTCGCGTTCCTGTGAGGGTGCGACTCTTGCATTTGCGAGAGGGAACGTGACCTTCGCGTTCGCGCATGGGTGCGACCCTCGCATTAGCGAGAGGGAACGCGAGCCTCGTGTTCGCAAGAGGGTGCGAGCCTCGTGTTCGCGAGGTGCGACGAGATCCTCGCGTTGCGTAGAAACGCGACCCTCACGTTCAGGCGTTACTGTATGCAACTGTTACAACAATTAAATCATTTGATGTTATAATTATAATTGTCATTATAATTTGTAACAGTCAAATGACTGTGGGTGATCCTTGAGCTGGCCTTAAAGACCTATAAATAGTGCCTCTTAGGGCAGCTATTGGGAGAGAAGAAAAACACACTGAAGTGTTGTAAAACTTGAACATATTGAATCTGTTAAGCTGTTGTGCTGCTGCTGCAAAGTTTAAAAGCGTGCAAGCTTTAGTCTGTGCCCGAAAAAACATAGCCCTGAACCGAAAGGTTATTACAGATCGAAAGATTTTCGCCTGAACCGAAAGGTTATTATAGATCGAAAGATCTTTGTCTGAACTGAAATATTTTAAACTGAAAGGTTTTAACAGATCAAAAAGATCGTTGCCTTGACCAATAGGTCTTATAGATCGAGGAGATCTTGACAGTACTTGGTTGGTGCACACCATTGTACCGTACTGCTATTCCTGAAAACAGTTTGGCCTTGGGATTCTTGCACCGGAGTAGGCCAAATATTGCTTTAAGCACAGCGTTTCACAAACGCACAGTAGCTAACTTGAAAAGGTTTTAAAATACAGCATTTCAGCTTTCTTTCAGTTCTCTCTGATTTATATCTGTTTTATTCTAGATTTAGCCACAGACGCTAACATATTTGTCATCAGGTTGTAATGGAAGACACTAATACGTAGAATATAATTAAGTTTGAATGATGAAAAGTAGATCAAAATTAAACACTAACGATTAGGGATTTTCCAGGAACCGATATATCCTGAATTATTTTTTACTATATTTGAGGATTTGAAATTTTATGATGGTTCCTTCTAATAAAAATAATTCAGAATAAATTGTGCTATTAATTTTAATTAATACGTGGTCACCCACAAAAATGAAAACTTTTCATTTGCAGTCAGTCTGAAGGGATACCTGAACGGAATCATGTTTTCTTAATGATTAATCCACCTCCCAACCCTTTGACTACCACAAACTCCTGCATCCGATTAAAGAAAGACCAAAGCATTCTTTAGCTTTATTAATTGTGCTCTTTTTATCTTCTTTTTTATTAGTCAACCGATATAATCACCACTATGAGAAGAATTTTTTTTTTAAACATACACTTGACAGGTCACATGCATTCAAGATGTTCCTTGAAACTTATTATTCACAGTAGCCTGATATTGATCAATAATAAGTCAATATCATCTTTAATTATGGTGGGGAACAAGTGTTATAATTTGCTCTTAATATCATCTTAAATTTTTTTCCACATATTTTAAAGATTGTTTTGTTGCATTTTTTTTTGTCAATGAAAAATACTTTTATTCATTTAACCAAATATGGATATTATGTACATCACTCTCTCAACATTGAGAAAACTAAGCTTCTAATAGAAAGCTATCAAATTACAAGGATATTATCCACTCCCTATATTCATCTAAAATAGAACTATTTAGGCATATAGTTAAGATATCAATTTTGATATCTTTAACCAATTGAACAACACTTTTAACTTTTTGCTGAAATAATCTGACATTTCTTTCCACCCACAGCCTATACACTGTTGCCGCAAGAGCCATCCTCCTCACATTTGTTTTGAAACCATTCCCTCTCTGTCTGGTGTTAAACCAATTCATAAGAAAGTCTCAATCACAAGATTGCCAGTTCATTTTGAGCCATTCCATGATGGCCAGCCACACATCTCTTGAGTATGAACAATCAAAAAATAAGTGGTTCCTGCTCTCTAAAGTTGTACCTGCACACAAGAGGCAAGCATTTGTATTAATGACTCCTCTTCTCAGCAATCTGTCTTGTGTAAGTAATCTGTTCTGCACCGCAGTCCATAACACAAATATGTGCTTCGGAACGTTCAGCTTCCCCCAAACCGTGTTGTACCAGGGAACCAAATGAGAAACAGGGGAGAAGACAATATAAACTGCTGATAACTGGATTTTAGAGTTCTTATAGCAAGTATTGAGTATTTGCTTCAAGTTATCAATCCCTCCAGCAACATTCAAAGCTTTATCCTTGCACTTTCAGCTGCCTCCACATCCAAGAGTCCCCTTTTTTAGCCTTCACATGCCATATATCCCAATTCTTTAAGTAATTCCCGTGAATCCATTTCACTCATAGAATCTCCTTGTTAACATGAATATACCATAGGCTTCTCATAGCTGAAGCCAGATTCCATATGGATGCAGAGAAAACTCTCAATCCCCCTTGTTTTTTCCCATAACATACTATA